CGCCGCCGCTGAACACCGCCTGCCGCAGCCGACCACCGCCCATAGCCACGACCTCGACACTCCAGTCGCCGCCGTCGCCGACAATCCCGGCTCCCGACATCCCGCAGGCAGCCGCCGTCTGCCGCCACCAGTTGAGTCGCTGAGCCTCTGAAGCATGTCACCGTCAATGGCTGTGTCACAGAGCTCCCTCCACCACGCCGTTGTCGACGTCTATCCACAGTCCGCCGACTGATATAAACACCATAGCCGGAATGTTTTGTGCTTTTTTCTATGGGATTGATTCCGGCGAGGCTGACGATTCCACTCATCCCGGCCACCATCTCCGCCGTCCGACGAAGGCGTGCCGCCGAAGATGGAGCAACGGGAGCAATGTGCATAGGGACTTTGTTTTGAGAATTTAATAAGATATGAGGACTTATTTGTAATTTCACAAATTTTAATATATTGCATTTTAGTATGTGAGTCAAATTTATAATTTAATAGAAGCTAACTAAAGGACAATAATTATCTATAAAATGCACATTATTACATGGAAAAGTGGACATCATTAAAATCGTTATATTTTTACTGATTCACATATTTTTAATTTATCGGTTTGATTGACTCATATTATTGATTATTAACAATTACGATTAGCATTTAATATTTATTTATTTGATATTCAATATTATTTTTTGATTAAAAAAATTACTACATACGTAAATGAAATATACTGTGCAATCTAACAGTAATTAAGGTGCAACCCGTACAATAATACGGTGCACAAAGCCTGTCTGTATTGTGCGATTGAACCAACTGAACTTGTGTCCCATGTCAAACGAAAAATGAACATAATTAATTGATTTATTCGGTTTGGTTAATTAAATTATCCTAAATACTTGAAATAATTTTTTATTTATACTAAATTACATTTAATATGTTAATAATTTTATTTATTATTTTATATTATTTCTAGTTGAAAATTTTTGAGTTCGGCCGGTTCGATTTATAATGTGCAATCTGATAGTCGTGCTAAAGTGCATAGTGTTGTGATGTAAAGTGCAACGTGTTGTTTTATAAAGTGCAGCGAGTTGATGAGTGAGCTAACATAGTTATGGTACGCTAGCATATCTGTGTTTTGGGTGTATAAATGATTTGAGTGATGTTAACGTGTTATGTATATCCGTTTTTTAGATTTTTTTGTTGTTTGGTATTTCGACAAGAGTTGCGGACGTTAATTGTGGATTGTGATGATAAAGTACAACGTGATGTTTTATAAAGTGTAACACATTGAATTATAAGATGCAACATGTTAATATATAAAGTGCACTATTTTATATGATCACACTAACATAATTGTCCCTTAACACTATCTAATTCAAAATAAATAAATAAATAAAGTCAATAAAACCCTAAATTTCTAATTTGAAATTATTATTGAAAATATTGAAATAATTTATTAATTATATTATAAAAATATATTCAATATTTTAATATATTTGTTTAATGTGTTTTTAATATTTTTTGGTTGCAAATAATGTATTATATATGTTATTATGTTTATTTAGCATTTTATAAATATATGTATAAACAATATAAAAGATAATAGTTTTCTTATATAACTTTTATAAATTACATAATGGCCCATGGATTAAATTGAAAAACAATCAAATATATGAAATTGCAAATGAATCCCTCAACTTTACTTAATTCTAAAAAACACAACCCAAAAAAAAAAATGCAATATATAATTAAATGTTGGCAGCCCGCCACCCGTCTCCTTGGCCTCCAGTTGTCACCGTCGAAAATGGCCGTGCCGCCGCGCCACCGCGATCTCCGACGGCCGTTCATCTAGAGTTTCCAGGCCGTTCGGTGGTCCACGACAGTCCCCGGTGAAAATGGCGGATCTTGGTGGAGGTCCACGGCGGTCCACGGGAGTGAAGATGACGGATCTTGGTGGAGGTCCACGGCGATCTCCGACGACTGCTGTTGTGCTGGAGAGCTTGGACGGCGGCGGCGGACTCGACAGAACACGACGGCGGCTGGCTTTGCAGATAACGGCCGCGGCGGACTCGACGAAACACAGCGACGACGAGCATCGGCTGGTAACGGCGACAGAGGGCGGCGGAGCATTACTGTCTCTACGTTTGTGTGTGTTTATGTATCAGTGTGTGCGTGTGTGTGCATGTGTGTTGCGTGTGAGTGGTGTGTGTTGTGTGCTGATGTGGGTGTGTGTGTGTTGATATGTGCGTGACTGTGTGTGTGACGGGGTGTGTGTGTGTGTGTGAGACAAAATTGATGAGAGCGAGGTAACGGAGAGAGAGGGGTTGGTGTGTGCATGGTTCCCACTATTTTTTGTCTTGCCAATTACTACATTGTCCTTATTGGATGTATAATTTTGGTTTGTTTTACCTATTAGATCATCCGATCGAATGGCTACGATGTATTCTTATTTCTCGCATTAAGAGTCATTCTCACCGGAGATTGACCCATATAAGCATAATAAAATGTTTCGGAAATTATTCCGCATGATAAATGTTAAAATTTGTTATATGATTATAAATTCATACCTCATAATTTAAAGTTTCGAGTGTCTTCTTGGGTAGTTATAGGCTTATAGCGGCCCACAGGCGCAAGATGAACCTTTTGGGGGATATGATATGATTATAAATTCATACTTCATGATTTATTTAACTGGCCCTGCGATTTTATGAACACTTTATATCCTGAAATCATCGCCTTCACTCGGTCAACTTCTTAATTTTTTCCTTAGAACTAAGCTTTGGACACGTTTGTAATGAAAAGAAACACGACACATGCAATATTGCTTTTCATATGAAATGTGAATCTTCTTAGGATTCACAACGATTTTGAACCATGAAGCAAGCCGCTTTATAACTTGAAACATATGAAAAGTAGAACACCTAAAGATTAGAAAAGCATAATTACAAAACTCTTAGGCCAACTGTAAAGGATATAATTTTAAACTACATCAAGTAAACTGTTTTATGTCGGCCCTATAGAAAATAGCATTTGCATTTTGCTCATTTTCATAATTTTTTGTTTCTATTTATTCATCACATCATACTAATCAACTTAGTGATGAGCCGTGAGTGTCCATCTTTTGAACGCCTTAAATATATTTTCCATAAGAATTGACTTTAAATGGAATTAATTAATTACAATGTAACTGCAGCAGGAGAATCATTTTTTTTTTTTTTTAATCCGCACAGTGGCATTTGTTTGTGTTTATGCAGTTCTTAATCACATAGTATTTTGATACCGAAAATCAACAGAATTTTAATTTCATAGTATATTTCTTTTAACAAGAAGAATATATGTTATAGTTCGTAATATCTCCACGTAGATTCATTATTGTGTTAAGTGTTAACAAACTTTGTTGTTTAAACACGACGGTGCATATATGCTTAACTGGCAAATGTGCTTTTGACGTTCTCCACTACACAAAATCTTCTGGCTAATCCATATATTAATTATAATTAAGTACTTGGATATTGACTAACCAGTTAGACTTGGATATTGGTTAAACCAATTAGAAAATCTATTGGAA